ATGGTGACATCATGCATTCGATACAGTATTCCAGGGAGAAAATTTCCGTGCTGGCGATGTAGTGGCCTTTGTTCATGGAAAATACGGTGGATTTCATTAGCAGCATGGGTGGGTCTGGCAAAAATCGGTGTGGCCACGGCTTGGATCAGTAGCAACCTGAAGAGAGAACCATTGGCGCATTGCATTCGGATGAGTCGCGCCAAGGCAATCATCACCACACCACTACTTCAATTGCAGTAGTTCTGTCTTCATGAAAGAACGAGGGGGAGGGGGGGGGAGGAGAAGCTGGTTGAACTTCCCCACTGAAGTCCAAAGGATTCACAATCTCAACTTGCTCCTCTGGTCTTTATAAATGAACGGCCCCAAGGTACTGATGGCAGGCACCCACACAGCGCCTTAATGTCCCCTTCCCTAATCGAAATTCAGACTTAGAGCTCAGAAGGTCAGAGTCACATAGGAACAGCTCTAACTTCCAGAGTAGCATGGCGACTGACTGTATTTGCTCTTGGATGTTGAGCGCTTTCTCCAGTACCGGCAGAGACGCAGAGCGTTTCGTAGATAGTTGACTAGAAGAGAGACACAGAGAGAGAGAGAGCTAATAGGCTGGACAGAGGCAGAGAGAATAGGAAGAGTCGGCAGTCGACACTGTTACGTTGAGGAGTGAATTCGGTCTTGGGGGAATGCAGCGCACGTTAGGGTGCGTTCACACTTTGCAACAGAGTCCACCGGCGACCATCAGCGTTTCGATCGCTCGTCAGCTTCAGCGACCAGGAAAGTGTAGATATCAATCTAGTAAATGGTAGCGTCTACCAGCACCAACGTCTACCAGCTCCTACCAGCGACTAAGGATAGAGAGTATGGGGAAGTAGTGGGGGTGGGAGTAGCAGACAGCTAGGTGCAACCGCACCGTACCACTACACATTACCGTACCCTTGAGCGCTGGTAGACGCTAGAACCAATTAGAATTTTCCGTGAGCTATTGAACCCAGGAACGTCAACAGATAGAGTATATGTAGTATAATAGTTGGCAAGGCGTCGAGTGGTGCAAAGTACATGTGGCAACCGGAAGATGGGTTTTTTCTGGGGTAGGAGACTGCGTAATGGTGGAACACTTATCATGAGAGCAAAGTTGGAACGTGTGAGATCGCAGCGATCATAAAACTCGTACCGAATAATTAACTTCGATGTTCCTCTGTTGGATATAGGCGTTCGGTTCTTGAGGCTGTGGGAGTTGTTTCTTTAGCTCCA